AACTTTCTTTATTCATTCCCGCTTTCAGTCTCTTCCTGCCACCCCAGCAGGCCACACCAAGATGGCTGATGCCACAACAGAGTCATAGAAGGTCTGCAGGAGGGCCCCTGAACCGCAAAAGACCTCAGTCTCCTCAGCAGGTATCTGCTCTATCCCGGCTTCTTATACAGAGCATTGAAGCTCCGTCCCTAACGTCTAGAGAATTCAAGCAGCTCTCTTCATGGCTGCCACTTATATACTTCTGGGTCATTTTCCTCCATAAGAAACCTTCCTATGAAAGACTGTTACCCTTTTGGGTTCCCCTCTACCATGGACTTACAAGTGAATATGTTAATATTGCATATTATAGTCAGTTGAGGGTCCTCCTCACTTGAAGGTTCTTTCCATTGGCTTTATTCATGAAACTGCTGATCTCTGTAAAGCTAGCCTATGTTTCTGACCACAAAGGTATTATAGGCCATCCTCCCATTAACTCTAAAAGAACTGATGTATAATTATATAAAAACAGTAGAAGAAGCCAGGCCCTCCTAAATATTTAATAAAACTAAACTATAGCTATTTTCTTTAGATGTATGGATGTTTACTTTTGTTAATTAATTTGTGTTAACTTTTAAGAATTCTAGTAAAATGTCAAGATGTTTACTTCATTGTGTATTTGTTTATTTAAAAAACAAACAACTGTTATCATTGTTTAATCTAAAGTGGAGCAGTTACCAAATTAAAATGTTCACCTTGAAAAAAAAGTATTTCTGATTCTGAATATTATTAGTAGCCTATTTAAGACAGAATTAATTAAATAAACCACTACTACTAATTATAGACTACTATTAAAAGCATCTCTCATTCTGAAGTATTTCTTAATACATATTGAGTAAATAAATCGTACTAGGCCTATAGCTATTTTAAGTATAACGATATTGTCCTAACCTAGTAGCCCGTATTCTGTTTATATAAAAATTATAAAAATACTCTTACGTCATTCATATATTTATTATACTGGCACTACTTTTTCGTTGTAAACCTTATTTATTTATTTTTTATCTTACGGCCTATCCTCTTTTAAGGAGTTTTAAAAGAAACTGGAAAAGTGTGATTGTATTTTTTGTAAAATCCAGACGTCCTGAAAAAAAGTCCGCTGGACTTGGTTCAGCCCTGGGGGTTACAGGAAGTTGTAGCTGCCATGTTTAGCTGCTTTGTTGTAGATTCCTTGTAGGTTTCCTGCAGATTTTAGCCTAAGTGTTGCAATGGAACCGAGCTGGAGTACCTTTTTATTCCAAGTAAGTAGCACTATACAGCTGTCCTTTTGACAAACTGCATACGCGGTTTTTGAATGGTATGAATATGCTGCCTGCTAAATGTTTTTGCATCACTTTGTGAAATCCATTAGAGTTAGCCAAGCAAAACAAAGGTGCTAGCGTTAGCCAGCTAGCTAGCTTCGCTTTGTGGGACACTTTAGCAAATTGCTAAGCTTTATCGAACCCGAGACCTCTGGCTGTCTGTGATCTACGGAGTGTCTCTAAGGCCACCTTCGTGGCGTTGGTTACATTTCGTGCAGCTACTATATCCTAGTGTGAGCGTTTTCGCACATAAACCAGCGTAAAGCTAATTTATGGAGCTATTGCTGTTGATGCGCGCGCGTTAGAAAATTAGCTAGTCGGTCAAGCTATTGCATTTCAGTATGCTAAGCTAATTTGCTAATGGGTAAGCTAACTCGGGTACTTTTTTCGTTCAAGGCAATACCTGCCACTATGCAGTTAAGGATAATTGGAAGAAAGTGAATTAGTGTAAGTCCCAACCTTAATTATGCAGATGAAGCAACGCACACACTTGTTTTAAAAGCATTTACCTTGCACCAGACAACCGTCTGTTAACTATAAGTTGGCTAAAGCTAGCACTGTAAATTATATGGGACCTAGCACGCGGACAGCAGGGACAAACCACTTTAAAGACGCCAAACGTTTCTTCTTTTACTACAAATCTGGAGCCACCGGCACCACTCAAGAATGGAAATCATGTGCAACTGTAGTCACAGCTGATCGAGACTTTATGCCAGCCACCTTTTAAACTTTAAAGTAATATGTGGCCTTTTGTTAGGAAACACATAGAGCCTCTGCAACTTGTTTCAAGAACTTTTCTTAATCGTGGGAAAGCTTTTCATAGTCGGAGCCTCTAAAAAGTTACAAGTGACGTTAAGTTAAAGGCTTCATGAATGGCCTTGCATCGCGAAGTGGAGAGCAAGTAACGCTGTGTTAGGTTTTCCAAGTGAAGAGTATGTATGTACATACAGTGGTGCCAAATGATTGATCTACTTGCATATACGTGGAGTTTAATAGAGTAATATGTCTCTTCATGGGTTTTTGGGCAATCCAAGAGTATCTTGCAGCACCTGACAGTTATGTATATACAGACTTTAATATTTTGGCTGTGCTCGGGCTTCACAATTTGCACGGATTGATACATTCTTTTACTGAAAAATGTATTTAATTGTTAATGTTTTTATCATGAAGATTTTTACCAAACATGTTTTGTTAGGTCAGTATTTGTAGCCAACGATAATTCTGCATAACCACCATTGGCTGTGAAGATGGTAGTAGCTATATGAGATTAGATTTGTAGATTTTGTGATGTTTTGATTGCTGCAGTGAAAAATAAATCACTGCAGCTGGTCACTGAATTGTGGGCTGAACACAGCTGATTTGAGGCTCCATAAGGCAAATTGCAAGATTAACAACATCATAATTACTAATTTGATGTCAAACACACACGTTTTCTTTCTGTCTCCATCTCTCTGTGTGTCTCGGTCGCTCTCTCTCTCAACAGCACTTACATTTCTTTAACAAAAATCTGGGCACCAAGTAAATACGTTTTATAAACATCTTAAAACTAGATGAGAAGATGACTGGGCCCTCTCTCTAGGTCGTCCTCAGACGAGCCCTCCATCGTTGCTTCCAGTCATCCCGGTTCTCCATACATCTGGCCAGTTCATTGATACTTTGTGCTCCTACGTCCTTCTTGAGTACGTCCACGTATGTTTGTGCGGGACGTCCTCGTGACCGATGCCCGTGTGTTGGTTCCCACTACACCAGGCCCAGCGGGGGGTCAAATTAGGCATTTAATAAACTTCCAACTTTTGACCATTAATCTGACTGCAAGACACATGCAGTAGTACAGCGCTTAGACACTGACTTTGCTTTCTGCTAAAGATGCTGTTAGTTACCAGAATACCTGGATTTTGTGTGTAATAGACAAGAAGACTATTAAGAGGCTCTTAAGGTTCTGCTTGGTTCACCTAAGGTGATGATTAGCACTTGGTATTGTGTTCTGCTGTTATGATGAAGTTTGAGAGGTTGGAGTTGCTTTCAAGCTATGGTACTCTTGGCACTGCCTCATAAATGTTGCTTTTTATATCATAACTGTATCAACTCTGTATAAAATAGCATAACCCCTGCTACGTTGTAAGATATTTTTATAGTTATGATGAACTACTTTGTTAATATTTTCACAACAATCTTCTTTGGTAGGGGGATAAGCAATACACTTTAAAATTGTCCTTATACAAGAAATGTTTTGAATTTCAATGTAATCTGCTATCTAGGAGGTT